TTCCGGAAGGTATCTGGATGCAAATTTTCTTCACGTTTAGATTCTAGTAAAACATGTTAGCCTGAGCTTATGAGATAGCTGTAGTAATATTCTGTGTTATTTTAGTTCTAAATATCCTCTGCAAACAGATCTCTGGGGACGTACTTTTGGAGAAGACAACGTTTCAACGATATGGGTTGGGTTTTTTAAATGTTGAACGTATTTAATAAACTAAACTTCAAGTAGGAGGCTATCCTTATATTACATATTTCATGTGCCTCATAGGATCGGATCCCGTGGATCATGGACGTCCTTCATGTCGAGGAGCCAATAGATTTATACAGTGATACAGTGGGGCATTGTGCCCTGATACAGTGGGTCACTGTGCCCTGATACAGTGGGGCATTGTGCCCTGATACAGGGGGGCATTGTGCCCTGATACAGTGGGGCATTGTGCCCTGATACAGTGGGCCATTATGCCCTGATACAGTGGGGCATTGTGCCCTGATACAGTGGGGCATTGTGCCCTGATACAGTGGGGCATTGTGCCCTATTACAGTGGGGTATTGTGCCCTATTACAGTGGGGCATTATGCCCTGATACAGTGGGGCATTGTGCCCTGATACAGTGAGCCATTGTGCCCTGATACAGTGGGGCAATGTGCCCTGATACAGTGGGGCATTGTGCCCTGATACAGTGGGGCATTGTGCCCTGATACAGGGGGGCATTGTGCCCTATTACAGTGGGGTATTGTGCCCTATTACAGTGGGGCATTATGCCCTGATACAGTGGGGCATTGTGCCCTGATACAGTGGGGCATTGTGCCCTGATACAGTGGGGCATTGTGCCCTGATACAGTGGGGCATTATGCCCTGATACAGTGAGGCATTGCGCCCTGATACAGTGGGGCATTATGCCCTGATACAGTGGGGCATTGTGCCCTTCTAGTGGGGATAGTTGCTCGTGCAAACAGGTCAGGTCATCTGCAGTGTTAATCCAAACCAATTGTGATTTTAAATATTCATTCATTTTGGTAATGTAGACAAGCTAAGACTTTTTAAACTCAACTCAGTCTCAGCAATCATATAGTCATACCTTTATGTATGAGGCTTGTATCACAATGTCAGCAATCATGTGATAAACCCATATGGAGCATGGTAGGCCTCACACCTTTCCAGACATTGCTTCTGGATTTAGAAGGGGCCCCGGCGACCCAGTCACCTTAGTGACTGGGGAATTCTCCTGGCAAAGAGGCATCCGTCGGGTATCTCTGCGAAACCTATGATCATGGGTTCAACCTGAACATGTTTCTAGTTTTGTCAGCACCATTGCAGCAGGGTTTTACCAAAGTGGTAACAATGTCAGACTTGAGTCTCTTGGGCTCTCCTCCCACTTCAAGCTGACGTGCCTTGTCACATCAATAACAATGATGTTAAAATCAACTCACTGACGCACTCACCCTGTTGTTTTGTTGAAGGTTGTCAGATATGTCACGTCAGCCATACTGTAAATGTCAGCTTTGCCCATTTATGCATGTATAATTAAAAACAATATATTGATGAACTTAAAACATGATTCATCATGGCATCATCAACATGTTCCTTGACAGTCTGGCTCCACACTGTACCGCATGTTGAGTGTCTTCCTTGATGGTCTGGCTCCACAATGTACCGCATGCTGTATGTCTTCCTTGATGGTCTGGCTCCACAATGTACCGCATGCTGTATGTCTTCTTTGATGGTCTGGCTCCACACTGTAACGCATGTTGTTTGTCTTCCTTGATTGTCTGGCTCCACAATGTACCGCATGTTGTATGTCTTCCTTGATGGTCTGGCTCCACACTGTACCGCATGCTGTATGTCTTCCTTGATGGTCTGGCTCCACAATGTACCGCATGTTGTATGTCTTCCGTGATGGTCTGGTTCCACAATGTACCGCATGTTGTGTGTCTTCCTTGATGGTCTGGCTCCACAATGTACCGCATGTTGTATGTCTTCCTTGATGGTCTGGCTCCACACTGTACCGCATGCTGTATGTCTTCCTTGATGGTCTAGCTCCACACTGTACCGCATGTTGTATGTCTTCCGTGATGGTCTAGCTCCACAATGTACCGCATGTTGTATGTCTTCCTTGATGGTCTGGCTCCACACTGTACCGCATGTTGTGTACCTTCCGTGATGGTCTGGCTCCACAATGTACCGCATGTTGTGTACCTTCCGTGATGGTCTGGCTCCACAATGTACCGCATGTTGTGTACCTTTCGTGATGGTCTGGCTCCACAATGTACCGCATGTTGTGTACCTTCCGTGATGGTCTGGCTCCACAATGTACCGCATGTTGTGTACCTTCCGTGATGGTCTGGCTCCACAATGTACTGCATGTTGTATGTCTTCCTTGATGGTCTGGCTCCACAATGTACCGCATGTTGTGTGTCTTCCTTGATGGTCTGGCTCCACACTGTACCGCATGCTGTATGTCTTCCTTGATGGTCTGGCTCCACACTGTACCGCATGTTGTGTACCTTCCTTGATGGTCTGGCTCCACACTGTACCGCATGTTGTATGTCTTCCTTGATGGTCTGGCTCCACACTGTACCGCATGTTGTGTACCTTCCTTGATGGTCTGGCTCCACACTGTACCGCATGTTGTATGTCTTCCTTGATGGTCTGGCTCCACATTGTACCGCATGCTGTATGTCTTCCTTGATGGTCTGGCTCCACACTGTACCGCATGTTGTGTGTCTTCCTTGATGGTCTGGCTCCACAATGTACCGCATGTTGTATGTCTTCCTTGATGGTCTGGCTCCACACTGTACCGCATGCTGTATGTCTTCCTTGATGGTCTGGCTCCACACTGTACCGCATGTTGTATGTCTTCCGTGATGGTCTAGCTCCACAATGTACCGCATGTTGTATGTCTTCCTTGATGGTCTGGCTCCACAATGTACCGCATGTTGTGTACCTTCCGTGATGGTCTGGCTCCACAATGTACCGCATGTTGTATGTCTTCCTTGATGGTCTGGCTCCACAATGTACCGCATGTTGTGTGTCTTCCTTGATGGTCTGGCTCCACACTGTACCGCATGCTGTATGTCTTCCTTGATGGTCTGGCTCCACACTGTACCGCATGTTGTGTACCTTCCTTGATGGTCTGGCTCCACACTGTACCGCATGTTGTATGTCTTCCTTGATGGTCTGGCTCCACACTGTACCGCATGTTGTGTACCTTCCTTGATGGTCTGGCTCCACACTGTACCGCATGTTGTATGTCTTCCTTGATGGTCTGGCTCCACATTGTACCGCATGCTGTATGTCTTCCTTGATGGTCTGGCTCCACACTGTACCGCATGTTGTGTGTCTTCCTTGATGGTCTGGCTCCACAATGTACCGCATGTTGTATGTCTTCCTTGATGGTCTGGCTCCACACTGTACCGCATGCTGTATGTCTTCCTTGATGGTCTGGCTCCACACTGTACCGCATGTTGTATGTCTTCCGTGATGGTCTAGCTCCACAATGTACCGCATGTTGTATGTCTTCCTTGATGGTCTGGCTCCACACTGTACCGCATGTTGTGTACCTTCCGTGATGGTCTGGCTCCACAATGTACCGCATGTTGTGTACCTTCCGTGATGGTCTGGCTCCACAATGTACCGCATGTTGTGTACCTTTCGTGATGGTCTGGCTCCACAATGTACCGCATGTTGTGTACCTTCCGTGATGGTCTGGCTCCACAATGTACCGCATGTTGTGTACCTTCCGTGATGGTCTGGCTCCACAATGTACCGCATGTTGTATGTCTTCCTTGATGGTCTGGCTCCACAATGTACCGCATGTTGTGTGTCTTCCTTGATGGTCTGGCTCCACACTGTACCGCATGCTGTATGTCTTCCTTGATGGTCTGGCTCCACACTGTACCGCATGTTGTGTACCTTCCTTGATGGTCTGGCTCCACACTGTACCGCATGTTGTATGTCTTCCTTGATGGTCTGGCTCCACATTGTACCGCATGCTGTATGTCTTCCTTGATGGTCTGGCTCCACATTGTACCGCATGCTGTATGTCTTCCTTGATGGTCTGGCTCCACAATGTACCGCATGTTGTGTGTCTTCCTTGATGGTCTGGCTCCACACTGTACCGCATGTTGTGTGACTTCCTTGATGGTCTGGCTCCACACTGTACCGCATGTTGTATGTCTTCCTTGTTGGTCTGGCTCCACACTGTACCGCATGTTGTATGTCTTCCGTGATGGTCTGGCTCCACACTGTACCGCATGCTGTATGTCTTCCTTGATGGTCTGGCTCCACACTGTACCGCATGTTGTATGTCTTCCTTGATGGTCTGGCTCCACAATGTACCGCATGTTGTATGTCTTCCTTGATGGTCTGGCTCCACAATGTACCGCATGTTGTGTACCTTCCTTGATGGTCTGGCTCCACAATGTACCGCATGTTGTGTACCTTCCTTGATGGTCTGGCTCCACAATGTACCGCATGTTGTGTACCTTCCTTGATGGTCTGGCTCCACACTGTACCGCATGTTGTATGTCTTCCTTGATGGTCTGGCTCCACACTGTACCGCATGTTGTATGTCTTCCTTGATGGTCTGGCTTCATTTAGTGCCCATGGAAATGGGTACCCGGTAGTGAAAGACTGTGTATGTCGAGACTAGATGAGGATGTTTATTGCATGCTGAGGTGAAGGGCGAGGTTTGGGCAGTGTGAAACCGCGGCTGCACATTATGTGGCTGTACCTGCCCTGCCCTGCCCTGCCCTGCCCTGCCCTGCCCTGAACACAAGTACAGCTTCTATCAAGCCGTTCCAGATGTGTGTGACCATTTGTTGACATTCTCAAAGTGAATTTGTAGGCCTCGTGAGGTTGTACATGAGGATTGTGGTACGGTTATCCAGAGAGCGTATAGTATTGTGCCCATGTATGTGATACAGCTGTAATTCGCAAACTGTCGGTACTTTTGTTATTGGGGCGATGAATGTCCGTGAATATTATGTTATGTAATATATGCTCTCACCATTGACATAGGCCTTGGGGCGTTGACATAGGCCTTGGGGTGTTGACTTGGGCCTTGGGGCGTTGACATGGGCCTTTGGGCGTTGACATGGGCCTTGGGGCGTTGACATGGGCCTTGGGGTGTTGACTTGGGCCTTGGGGCGTTGACTTGGGCCTTGGGGCGTTGACATGGGCCTTGGGGCGTTGACATGGGCCTTGGGGTGTTGGGGGTGTTGACATGGGCCTTGGGGCGTTGACATGGGCCTTGGGGTGTTGGGGGTGTTGACATGGGCCTTGGGGCGTTGACATGGGCCTTGGGGTGTTGGGGATGTTGACATGGGCCTTGGGGTGTTGGCATGGGCCTTGGGCTGTTGACATCTTTTAAGCACTGTATTATAATGATATATTTTGACCAAACTACAACATAGAAATGAATACATATTTCAGTAAGTCATTTGGTCTCAACTAACATTCCAATAAGCCTTTACGTTATTTAGTTCACGTTTGATTCTCTCTCGTATCTAGCTGCTCACTCATCTTCACGTGTCGTTAGCCGTTACTTTCGTCTGGAGCCGAAAGCTTATCTACCTATCAATGCCTGTCAAACTATCTCTAACGTGTGTCTAATTTGGAAGTTTATCTATCCGTACGCTCTGTCCACATGGAATATTCTTTAAATAATAAATTGATTAAGTTATTAGTATGGCTTTATAAGCTTTACAATCTGTCTTATAAATTGCACAGGATATTAAATATATTCAATTGGTCAGTTTCATGACATGCAATAACACATAATGGCCGAGGTTTTTTTACGGAATTTGTAATTCAAATATCCAATATCCTTTCCTAGGTTAAGTCAGCGCGGTGTGACACATGTCAGGCAGCACTACTACGAGCCTGATCACCCGATCCCGTTAGTCGCCTCTTACGACAAGCATGGATGCCTTTTATGGCAATCATGGATTGCTGAAGGCCTATTCTACCCCGGATCTTCACGGGTCTATAGACGAAACTGGTGAGGGTATATAGGTTTGGCCTCCGACTTCAGTGGGGACACGTTTTCTGCCCAGAGAGTGCAATATGGGTGATTCGATCCCCGACTGCGTCATACCAAAATACGCTGACGGGTGGTACTTGTTGTTACCCTGACTGGCGCTCGTCATTACGGTGATGAAACAAGGACTGGATGGCTCGAAGTCGCTATACAGTGTCTGGGTGGGTTGCCCATGTTAAACTGGGACATGGTATCTCAGTTCGCTAGCTGCGTGGTCCGGGCCTGATACATTATACATGGTCCGGGCCTGATCGACTATGCGTGGTCCGGGCCTGATACATTATACATGGTCCGGGCCATCGCTGTAATAAGCGTTATTAAATACTATTTCTTACTAATTGATAATTAAACGGCCCGGCTTGTATATGCTACTTAACTTTGCAGTTACGTGAACTATATTGGACAGCTATGTAACCCGTGGGTTATGTATCATAACGAACACAACACAAAATAATATCCTTATTTATTACCCATCCGTCAAGAGGTATCCCCTTAATAAAAATACATCTGAATGAAACATCGTTTGATGCCAAAGCGCTTGCTTTTGTACTGCCGATGCGACCTTGTGTGCTAGGATGACGTCACAGGGCCATGTTGTGCGGGTCAATCTTGCAATAGAATTTCACAAATTACGTCATGGGGTTCTATTGTGACTAATTAATACATGTCAACTTTCGATGTGTTTGCATAGTACTGTTGAAGTCAAATGGATTATACAGTGGATCGCGTCGATGTCTGCATATTCACACCCGACAGTGACATATTGTATTCATCGTTTATGGCGGGAATTCCCATAGTTCGATCAACTGAGTGAGGGGGGGGGGGGGGGCTGTGGGCAATCTCTTTACGGTACTTCAACTTCCTGGGCAGAGCCTTTGATAATCTTTGTTGAGAGAAGCATCACACCAATTTTATAAACAAACATTTAGTTACTCACATACATATTTCAATTTATTATACAGACCAATTTCTTTCGTGTAGCTCAGATTAGATGCCCGCGTAACGGGAAAAGAGATCTTTCAGATCTACTATTTGATAATGTGAATCCCTTGCTATTGCAATATATGCTCGACGGTGAACCTTTCATCACAAGGGATACACTTAGGAGTTTCGTCCTCATCTGTCTTAAGCAGATATTTGTGTGATATCATGTCTTGACTGACAACCCAAGAAGGTATGACCGATTGTTGGTTTAAATTTAAGTTTATTAATTCCTACATGGGTGTCCCACCAGTTTTGCATAAGTTCCCGGGTATAAGTTTTGATGGTTGGTTTGAAATCGCTATACGGAATATGGAGTGGGGAAAACGGTTTGTCAAGATGCCTACGTGACTTGGCAACCAGCAAAAGAGATGTCACATTGGCCAGTTGAAAGATTGAAAAGGTCTAATAAGTCGAGGATTATAGGATGTTATGACGAAACACTTTAAGTGCCTTAAGGCAAAACAATGAATTTGAAAATGTGATGAAGTGTTTCCATTGATTTTGTTTCCATCAAATGAGGTTTTAAAAAGTTTTAAACGGCAAGTAATAAACAAAATACTAAACGAGCTCCCGTGTAATACAAAGTTGATGACACTCGTGAATGGTTCTTGTATCGAACTCGCGAAAGCTCGTTCAGGTTTCTATATTAATCTTTTGACTGCAATGTACTATGTCAAATCAATCAATGTCGTCTATGCGGAAAATGAAGATAACTTGACATTTTACAATTATATACAACTCCGGAGGATGTAACCAAGGATGTTTGTAATCGCACACTGTCACACACCGACCTTTACGTGCATACGTTTACATACATGTACACACAGATATACATAATTTACATCAGCATACAAAATGTAAGTTAAAGTTTAAACATTAAAGTAAAACCTTATCGTCTAGCACAGTTGGCGCACTGACGTCACACACCAAAAGTACTATTAGATGATTAAGGGACATGCCACCTGTTACAGCTCATTATAGATTAATATTGCATGAATGCCCATGACTTAGTGCTTGTGTAATACAGGTCAACTAAGATTGTTCCACGTACTATCTTTTACCGCCCCCCCCCCCCCCCCTCTCTCTCTCTCCCTCTCTCTCTCTCTCTCTCTCTCTCTCTCTCTCTCTCTCTCTCTCTCTCTCAGGTGTTACTGGACCCTACTGCTGTGTCCTGCCCACCGTGCTGTTGTAAATGACGTCATACAGGTCGAGTTCGTTGCTGTTTGTGTAGTGACAATCCATCCAGTTGACCGTGTAGGGTTCATCCCAGGGACTTGCCGCCACATGGAGAGTTTTGTTCAGGAGGCAGTGATCAGTGACGACTGAGTTGACATATTTGAAGTGCGCCACCTCGGACTGGAACGACGGACCCTCTTGCCAAACCTTCCTCCAGAAAAGTGACCGGAAGTAAGCGTAGATGTCGTAATCTGTCTCTGCCACCTGGCGATGACGTTCACGATATTTGTCAGTGAATGTAAGCCTTTTCTTTTTTTCATTCTTGTTTTTGGGTAAGTACAAAATATCTTTAGTGCTCCAACAAAAGTACCGCTTTAGAAGCACCAGTGACTCGTCGAAATGTTCCATTACCATCACAAGCTGGAAATCTTCTGCCATCTGTGTCAAGTAGAGAAAACGACTAGTTTTGTTCTGAATCATTTCGTCCGTGAACCGAAGTCGTATGCCAGAGAGTTGAGGGTATGACTCATCACAACATCTTTGTCTTCAAAATCCCACGGATTATCGAGAAAGCCATTGACAATAGATTGGTGGTCTTTAAGCCCCCAGAACGCGTCAGTGACGTGCTGTCCAGGGCCATAGTATTCAAAAGCTGACACAAACTGATCCATTGGATGTCTGACGATAGAGATGTATCTGGTGTCCGCCGGCATGACGTTCTTGAAGGCACTGCGACGTCGTACGTTGCAATGTACTATGTCAAATCAATCAATGTCGTCTATGCGGAAAATGAAGATAACTTGACATTTTACAATTATATACAACTCCGGAGGATGTAACCAAGGATGTTTGTAATCGCACACTGTCACACACCGACCTTTACGTGCATACGTTTACATACATGTACACACAGATATACATAATTTACATCAGCATACAAAATGTAAGTTAAAGTTTAAACATTAAAGTAAAACCTTATCGTCTAGCACAGTTGGCGCACTGACGTCACACACCAAAAGTACTATTAGATGATTAAGGGACATGCCACCTGTTACAGCTCATTATAGATTAATATTGCATGAATGCCCATGACTTAGTGCTTGTGTAATACAGGTCAACTAAGATTGTTCCACGTACTATCTTTTACCGCCCCCCCCCCCCCCCTCTCTCTCTCCCTCTCTCTCTCTCTCTCTCTCTCTCTCTCTCTCTCTCTCTCTCTCTCTCTCTCTCTCTCTCAGGTGTTACTGGACCCTACTGCTGTGTCCTGCCCACCGTGCTGTTGTAAATGACGTCATACAGGTCGAGTTCGTTGCTGTTTGTGTAGTGACAATCCATCCAGTTGACCGTGTAGGGTTCATCCCAGGGACTTGCCGCCACATGGAGAGTTTTGTTCAGGAGGCAGTGATCAGTGACGACTGAGTTGACATATTTGAAGTGCGCCACCTCGGACTGGAACGACGGACCCTCTTGCCAAACCTTCCTCCAGAAAAGTGACCGGAAGTAAGCGTAGATGTCGTAATCTGTCTCTGCCACCTGGCGATGACGTTCACGATATTTGTCAGTGAATGTAAGCCTTTTCTTTTTTTCATTCTTGTTTTTGGGTAAGTACAAAATATCTTTAGTGCTCCAACAAAAGTACCGCTTTAGAAGCACCAGTGACTCGTCGAAATGTTCCATTACCATCACAAGCTGGAAATCTTCTGCCATCTGTGTCAAGTAGAGAAAACGACTAGTTTTGTTCTGAATCATTTCGTCCGTGAACCGAAGTCGTATGCCAGAGAGTTGAGGGTATGACTCATCACAA